AAGATTAGTCTTAAATGATTGTTTTTGGATCTTCTTGAATAATTCGATTTTAAATAGTTATATTCAAATAAATAACACACAATTTCTATCGAATATATCGCACATGTCTGTGCTCAAATTTATTCAAAAACACAGAATAATAGATGAAAATAAAAGCTTCATATACATAAATATACACATACTTACGTTTTGATGTTAATTAGCTTTTTGAGGTCTTAATATGCTGTTTTTTTCATAGTTCAAATAGACATACATCCACATTATTCTAGGCATTTCCGTTTTCAATCAAGTCGTTACGTAGTCTAAGAAACACACGTATTGACTTTAAAACATATATTTCATTAGATCACGTAACGACTTAATTATTTGAAATGATAAGTTCATTTAAGTTCTCACAAAACTCCGATTTGAGGTTGAAATGGGCCCAAATCGCAATCAGCGCGGCCCTTTTGTGTTCTTTTTGGCCGTTTCTGCAATCGCCTCCCGAGAATCGGGCCGCGGTCCTCGCTGCCACCACCACCGTGCTCGCACCCTCACCGCCACCCTTCTATCGGGAGCCCTGTTCAGAGTGGGCTTTGAAGAGAACAGGCAGCGGCGCTTCCGTGTGACGATGGTTTCCGCATTGGGGCAGGTGTTCTTGTAGAACCCCACCCACAATCCTTGTGTGCCATGGATCACGCACATCAAACTCACCAGCAGCAGTAAACGGAAAGCTCCTCCTCGTCCTCTTTGCGCTGCCATTAGTCTCACCCTAATACCTTCGACACTCCACTCTCGAACTGGCACAATGCTTTGATCCCTCGGACTAATCCACACAAATCCAGAATTCAAAGCCCACTCCAAGCTCCAACACACTTCATAAATAAGTTCAACCCCAGTAGGCGAGCAGCTGGAGAGGCATTCATCAGCTCACCTAGTTTGGACCCAGATGAGCGACTATGCAGTCATCACTGCGAATAACCCACCGCAAAACTTGCACCTATCAAGCAGCCTTTCCACTTAAAAACTCCTGGTTACAAATGCCGTCATTTCCCACCCTCTTGTCATACGCTCTTGCAAACTAGGCTCTTGTCATTCACATGCAAACTCTGAGCGAAAGATATGCAAATTACGACGCCGGTAGACTGCAATGATTCCACGACGAATCGAGGCGGTGCTTTTATAGACCCAGCTGGTGAAGAAGCATGATAAGAACTGACCGATTGACTTGAAGTTCCCGGCGAGTGGCATCAGCTTGCGTGACTTTTCCAGCCGATCTCTGATCCACCTCCTCGTCTGGTGCCCGCATCTTAGTGTGGACTCGCGATGTCCTGATCTGGACGCAACCTCCCTCCCTGCCTTCCCTCCTTCTCCCTGTCAACTAGTGCTACTTTCTTCCTCATTACTGCTGCTGCTGCTGCTTAGCACCATCTCAAAGCTGCAGAGAGTGATTTTGGAGCACGAATAAAACAGTAGGGTAAAATCTGGCGGAGATGGAGGATCAGAGCCACTCCTCCCTCCTCATTGAGATCTCGCTGTGTCTGGCACTGCGGCGCTTCCTTCCTCGAAACATATGTTTACATATATATGTATATATGTGTGTGTGCGGATTTGATTGTTTTGCGACAAAGTGCATGAGGGTGGATGAATCTCGCAGAACGCATTCAAGTGGATCTCTGGGGGGCAGAATCGGTTGAAGGGATACCAAAGACAACGAGGAATACGGGGGTATTATGGATATTTCAGATAATCTCATGGGTAGTTTTGAAATTTTCCCTATAATATGTGTGTTCTTTTCTTTGGAATCTACAAATTGTTACGTTCTTTGAAGGACTATTTCTTATGTTGTTCAATCTAATACACACAATTCTTTCATATTAATATTTCAATATCAATGTAATGCAAAAGCATATTAATATCCATAAAAACTTAACGTCAAACAAATTTAACAATGATGGACAACTGTAGCACATAGAATATCATCACAACTTATTCTTTCAACTATTCAAATTCAATTGTGAGCAACATGTTTTTCTAGTCATTAACCAGTGATCACCCCACAAGACACTTCCTTAAGTCACAATAGCTATATGTTATTTTCATTAACTGAAAGCAATCACAAGTTTTTATTCAACAAAGTGGTGTTAATCATTTACATTATTAATATTAAATTATAATTAACTACAATTTACATACATACTCACATTCCATTTTAATTATTTTTTTTTAAAGTTAAAAAAGTTATCTCTTTCCAACTGCACATGCTAAAAGTATCTTTATTTCAAACATAAGTAACCTTATTGGTCCCTTTTTGCTTTGCAAAATGGAAATAATGATGCCTGAAAATTTTATAGTAAGTAATACAATGGGAAATCACAAAGCTTTTGCTATTATCTGAAAATGCAATGTGTAAACCAAAAATAAAAATTAGAGTTGAAATAAAACTAAAGAACTTTGCAATACAAGTTATAATTAATATATATCAAAGTGCAATTTATAGTGTTTCATATATCAACAACGTTTGAGATGGCTTTAACTATTAAAAATTCATAAAAGGTACCAAGACACAATATGTGCAACTATCTTAAAATATCATATCTCTAATTTTTAAAACTTGTTTTTATAAACCGCTGTCCACTCCAATGTGGTGAAAAATAAATAAATAAATAAAATTAAATCAAATAGTGATACTGAACATTGGGCACCAAATGTCACAAGCTTATTGGACAAGGAAAAATAAATAAATAAATAAATCATAATATTGCAGTTTTACATCAACCTGTGCTTTTTAAAGATAACTCGTGTGTTTTCTATAATGATCAAATGTGCATTGTTTCACCCTTCACCTATTTTATTTTATTTTGTTTTGCTTTTAGTATTATTATGTACCATAGCGTGATTTGATCAATGGAATAACACCATTCATTCTTGCTTATGAAGATTCTTCCGCATCATAATTCTGTTTCATGCTTATGCAATAGAACATGATCCAAACCAATCTTTTCACAGTTATCTTTTGATAGACCAGTGGTCACCATTAATTGCATCTGAATTCGTGTTTAGGATAAATGAAACCACTTTGTATATATGTATTTTCATTTGCCTGAAAAGAAAAAGAAAGAACAAAACACAAGAATTTCTATACATCATTGAAACAATTTGATTTTGGTTTTTTGGTATATATATATATATATATATATATATATATATATATATTTTAAAAATCATGTAGATCTTTTGGATAGGAATATGAAGTGATTCAAAGGAGTATCAATAATTGTTTGGATATTTCAATCATTTTTGAAGGCTACCCCCACACTTCACCCACCTTTGTGTCAATACATGTGTACAATTAATGGAACCCAACAACCAAGCCCATCAAAAAAAGAATTCCTTGCCTAGGATAGCCATAGAAGGCATATCATATATATATATATATATATATATTTTAATAGTGTAATAGGTTTTGATTGAACATTGGCTTGGAAGAGGCATGGAGGAGCTTTAGGGAACCAAAGAATGACATTGGATTGGAATGCTTCTTCAATCATCTTGCACAACTGTCCAAGCTTTTGAAGCCTTCTCACTTGGCTCAAAGGCCACTTCATTCACCCTTTGTTCATACAGTAGATGAAATACATCACTTCCTTACTTCTCAATAATTTCATTTGTAAAAATATTCCTTTATTATTATTATTATTATTATTATTATTATTGATATAATATAATTTACTTTGTGAGTATTTACAACAAACATTCAAGGTTTCATAATTTTATAAAAAGCCTTTCTCACACACTTGTTTTTGTTTTTGGTTTTTGGTTTTTATTTTTTGTTTCTTTTGTTTTTGTAATTTCATTTAATGTATGAGCATGATTTATTTCTTGTTGTTATTCATAAATTTTCTTTCAAGTGACAAATGATTTTTTTTAACAATGACTTGTATTGAAAGAAAATTATTTTTTGACACTTCATTAATTAAGTCAACTTGTATTTTATTTTCACACAATATTGGTTTTTTAATGCATGATTTGATATACTTTATAACCATTTAATTTAATTTGTTTTGAAAAATCTGATACGAATTTAAGTCCATGAAATAAGATTCTTATTTATCTCCAGAAATAAAATGAAAATAATGCACATAATTATGATTTGAAAACATGAAATAGTCAATATTTGCTTAATTGTTCAGAAATCAACTGGGATGGATATGAACTCCTGCTAAAAATAAATAAATATTGTATATTATATTTTTTTTATTATATTTTGTTGTATATGCCACATTCAACATTACTTTTATGTGCTGATTCTCATTCTTCTTCATTGTAAGATGAAAGAAAACGAAGTATATTAGAACATGGCCTTTACTGTAACAACAGCAATTGAGTATACTATGTTATTATTATTATTATTATTAATTAAAAAAATTGGATGTAATCATATGCAAAATCTTTTAATAATCTTGTATTTGTAATTTTTTTGCCAATGCTATATGGAACGCCTAGCACACTAGCCTTTAATAGAAAACTATTGATTTTTTAAACTTTGAATTACTTCGAATGCACTAATAATTTAAAAAAAAAAAAAAAAAAATCATGAACCCATAAGTTAAATTCATCAGTTTTGTGTTATCCATAAGATAAAAAATTCAAATATATGTCTGCACACTGCCAAACACATCAAAACAACTACAAATAAATAAATAAATAAATAAATAAATAATTATTTAAAAAAATTAAAAAAAAAGAAATCACATTGAGAAAAATATTTTTGATATTGAGAACAATATTTTTTAAAAAAAAAATTGTATCATCAAAGAAAGATTTGACAATTTCACTGAACTGGTCAGATTTCTACCGTGAAATATATACGATTACATATATAATAATACGAGCGAATATGACATACGATGACGTAGAACGGCGCAGTGGATGAACGAAGGACTCCGTCGAGGGGCATGTCCATTCACACACGTTCATCCACGTGATTGCGGCGAGTTGGATCCTTCACCGAATGGCCATGGCCGCAGGGTCTGAAATTGCAGAGGATTGAAGACAGTGAAGCATCTTAATTCGAAGGCTTGATTCAATCCTGTTTGCAGGATTCTACGACGCTTACGATTCCCCTCACGGGATTCCGGCCTCCCACTTGTGAAAATTCATCTCTTGGCGAGTGATTTCAGCGCGAAAAGTGAAGTTTGAAATCGGTCGTGACGGCATTCATGTAGAGAGGTAAAATCGACTTGAATTTGATGTTTGGGGGATTTGGGTTCGATGTTTAAATTTAGTCGTGACCGTTAGCCTCGTGAATCATGCTTGAGTACCATATTTTACGTCGAACCGAAAACCCCGTGCCTACATGTTGCCGTGAAATATTTTGGCTATGGCGATTATGGTATGTCTCACTACCCTGGCCATGGCCATAGCTGGGCCCTCGCTGATTGATCTTTGGGCGTGAGGTCCTTGGCTTCGATTCCTGTTTTTTCATGTACAATCGCATACCACTTTGGTTTTTTCCATGATTCGATTCGTGGTATCACTGTCATATCACGATTCCTGATAACACTGTTATTCTTATTCTCCGATTCGATTCATGATATGACAGTGATAATATTTTTATTACTGGGTACTGTTCAGAACGTGAGATCAGTGGTTTCTTCAAACAGGACCGATGCAGATAGCTCCATGAGTCTACGATGAAATCCTCTGACGAGTAATGGGGTCGTGAGATTCGGAGGCGCTCTGCTACTTCAATGTGGAGGTAATTATGTACAAATGTGTTTTGTCTGTGTGAGAGCTGCATACAATTTTGTATGTAATGCTGTGCTGGTTTGAAAGTTATGGTTTAGAAGCTGGGTTGTCTACTCCGTTTTGGAAGTTTGGAGTATATGCTGTGTGGAGGTTCATATGACTATGTTCATTCGCAGAGCTCATCGTGGCATAATCTTGCTGCCCTTGTTGCATGCTTCAATGTCTTTCCTGATTCGAAGTCGTGAGTGTCAATGTGTCTACAAGCTTCCTGCATGATTCTATTTCACTGAGTAAGTTTTTTCTTGGACTAAGCGTAACCTACTTTACGGTGATGAACTGGCTGTTATTCAGGAACATGTTTCCTCTTAATGACACACGAAGTTAGGCAGGCGCAGAAGCTGTTATTTCACAGCAGCCTTCACTGCATGAGCGTTCTGGGGAGTGATGGAGCAAATCGGAATATAACTGGGTATGAAGCTTTTGTGGGACTCCTTCCTGAGACTTGATGCTTTTGTGGGCATGCTTAAATGTTCCGAGGATCTGATGATTTTCCATGACGTGGTTCGTAAATCTTTCACGTGACACTACTCCGGAATTTCTATCTCTTACTCCATTCTGGTTCCTCCAGAGTGGTTTTTGTTTAGACTGTTCTTTGTAAAAAAAAAAAAAAAAAAAAAAAAAAAAGGAGGTGTAAAAGACTAGTTCTGGATATCCACATAAGTAAGCATGCCATTTATGCAGACCTTGACAGGTCGAATTGTAGTATGGGTTTCTGATTATTGCTTGCTTGCTTGTCTTTCTTTCCCAGGTCAACGAAGGCAGCACGACTAATTGTAGTTTTACCTTTGCTCCAACTCAGAACTTTTTCCTTTTTTGCTTGAGCTGATTCAAGCACCAGATCTGATCTTGCCCATGGGTCCAATTTTGATTGAACCAAAAGAATGGTTTACTTCCAGCTTGCAACCTCTTCTATCCCTCGCATGTTGTGCAGACTAGCCAATCGTGGAAGTCGTGGATTTGATATGTGTAGCCATGATGTTATGCCTTCAAACTTGGATACCTAATAACACCATTTTTACAACGGCAGTCATTGGAACGGAATACACTTCATTCGTAGTGGAGCAGCAGTTGGAAGATTTTGTGAGGGAGCAGGCATCTCATTAACGTCTTTATTGTTGAAGATGCTGCTTTCTGCAAATCATTTACCGTCGCTTTTCTTTTCTTCTCTCTCTCTCTCTCTCGATTTGATCAAGGGATAACTGGGGTGCTTGCATGAAAGGCTGGAATTCAAGTTCCACCTGTCACGCTGGCTGGCAGGGGGCGGCACCACAAGTTCCTTGCAGAAGAAAACTCATAGAAGACGAGGAGAGTAACTCACAAAGCCAGTTTTCTTCATTAATTTTACACAGGCCCTAGTTTTGGAAGTAGTATCATACCAAGGCTAGCTCAAGAATTCCATGGCACTGTATTCTTCAGGAGCATGGTCATGAACTGAGGAGATTCTCAAGGTGCGGAAAACAGCTTAAGTTCCTTCTTGATTATCAATTAACAATCATATTTACAACGACTAGATTTATGGCTCTTTTGATGGGAAGATCGAGACCTCTCAAACGTACCAGCGACGATTTGCCAGAATCTAAAACAACTTCTCTTCAGACAGGTCTTCGGTGCAGCAATGGTCAACAAGGATCGACTCAAGGGTTGTTGAGGTATGAAGCTTCATAGGAATTGAGATCTGATTGAATGTGCTTGATTGATGCAAGAACTGAAAAAAAAATTACGTTTGTTTTGTTTTTTTTGTCAAAGTTTACAATAGATGGGATTGATTTTAGAAAGTTATTGCTATGAAACTAATTAGTTTTGTGCTTCGTCATATATGTGTATACTTGTTTTCATTTTGCTTGTATTTTTCATGTGGTCTTCATTCGTAGTGTCTTGTTGTAGATGTTGAGAACATTTATTTTTACAAATGCGCTGCAGTACAGCATGTCCCTGACATCACCAACTCGCATGGCAAAATCCACAACAACAGGGTGCCGATAAATAAGCGGTGGATCAGTCCTAGAACCACGAATATTACGATAGCACTGCAACTCCGCTGCTTGATAAGCGGCGACTGTTCATGACCCATGTGGTTTTTTGCACATTGTTCAACGAATCTGTGGTCGAAAGGCACGAAGTGTTGTGTCAGTGTCTTGCCTCAGTTACTGAAAGGCAACAACAAAAGGCGGCATTGCTCAAGAGAGAGAGGTTATTTCTGAGGAGCAATATCTGAGCTAAACTAGTTCCAGTATGTGGGTGCCCATTTTCTTATGTACAGAGAGAGACAATACGATGCGGAACTCGACTCAACTGGATCAACTCAACATGGTCGCAACTCAGGAGTTGTTCATGGGTCCAGATTCTCCCGACGCACCCAAACTTGAGAGCAGAGGCTCTACTTCTTCTTCTTGTAGCTTCTTGTAGCTTATTCAAGGTATCAGATCGGAAACGCTTTGAGGCATAATGAAGCACATTTGCCATTATTTGTAGCACATCAGACCTGTTAGAATTTCGGTCAGAAGATGAGCTTCTTCATTTAATCCGGTAGTACCCTTTAGAACCATCTGGATTCATTCTGTTGAGCGTTCCCTAGATCATTCTTCTGCAGGATTCCAGTCATCTCGCACTCAATATTCAACTCTTTCGTGCAAGATTTCTAGGACAATAGGAATTTCGATGCTCTATGGTGCATCATTATATAAACCACCGTACTTAAAAATGTTGCTTGCTAAAAAAATTATTCTTTTTTCTTATATTTTAAACAAAGGGATGTATTCATATCCTAGCTGTGAAATTTCCAACTTCGCTGTGAAGAATGCTAGTATAGACACAATTGTCTCTTTGGTGTTGCAAAAAACAAAAATCAAAGGGGTGTGTTTTTTTCTTTTAATAGTATAAATATACTTTCAAGCACGATTCTGCTTTAATTAAAGAAGGATTGTATATATCAAAGATAAGATAATTTTGGAATTCTACTCTTGAAGGTTATAAGCAGGGTTCTATATCTAGAAGCTGACCAAGATGCTTTATACCTATCACTTTGTGAAGAAAAATCCTCTTCTAAAAGCCTTGGTTTTATGATATAATTAAGAGTGAGAAGAGGTTATAAAATAGACCAAATTGTTCGTTTATTACAAAACTAAATACATTAACCAATATTTTCTTTCTAACAATTATAAGATGTATAAAAAGGTTGATTTTCTATTTTTAATGGTTATTCAAAACAACTTCTTGTCATGGCTTCTTAAATGTTTCTAAAAAACTCATCTTCAGATGTGCTTAATTGAAATTTTAAGGGACGACACTGTTCATGCTATGTTGGAAAAAAATGCATTCTACCTCATTTTTTCTTCTAAGGACTTTTGAAATGATTTTTCTATGTATAATACCAATTTAGTGAAGCTTTAGAAAGCTTAAACAATAAAAAGATTTAAAAGTTTTAACCTCACACATTCTCTGGTAAATATGAAATGATCTGAATATTTTTGAGGAAAAAAGAAATTAATTGAAATATTATTATATAGTAGTGTATAAAGATTACATGTCATCATACACTGTAATGCAAGATTTGCTTAAGCTGATAATTTTTTTTTTTTTTTTTTTTTTTTTTTTTAAAAAAATGAAAACCTTTATAAAGGTAAAATAGATTTTTAAAAGTCATTGTATTAAAATGCAATTAATAACAAGTAAGTTACTATGAACTTGGTGTATGTAGAAATATATTTTTATTTAGTTATTTATATATAAGTATATATGTTTATAGATAATATATACATATGAATAAAATGGTTCATTTAAATTTCAATAACAAATAATAGATTTTCTAGCTGTTAAAAAAATTGAGCAAAAAACACCCAATCTTATTGATTTCAAATGATTTTTTGAAATAGGTATTTACATTTGTAAAAAATCAACTAAATATTATTAAATATAAAAAATTTGTATCTTAAATATAATTCCACAAAAACTCAAAAAATGTAAACTGAGTTTTTACAAATTTTTATTTATTGTTGTGATATAATATGGAAGTTTTATTTTAAAATTAAAAGTAATATCATTACATTTTGATTTTTTGGATCAATAACTAAGTTGTTATAATAGAATACATAATTAAATTTAAACTTGCATTATTTTTTTTAAATAAATATATTAATAAGATAATATTATTTACATTTTATAATCAAAATTACAACATTTTGCATTAATCATAAATATGATAATGTAAATTTAAATTCTAATCTAATCCTTAAAGTAATTCTATTTTATTTTTAGAATTTTTTTTATAAAATTTAAGAAAATCCATAAATAAAATCATATAATTATTTATCTATCATTTATAAAATTTTGAATACTATTCATAATGGATAATATAAATTTAATTGCCACAAAAAATTTACAAGTGTTTAAAATCAAATCATAAAATATATATATATATATATATATATATATATATATATATCAAACATGTAAATATGCTATATAGAATCAAAATTTTATGAAATCTACTAGATTTTATACCATAAATTGTATATGGTGTTAAATATTAAAATAAAATAAAAAATTATTATATATATATATATATAAACTTGGTAGAAGATACAAAATTTACCATCTATTTCTTTCTTTTCTTTGAATTTATTATATAATTATAAATCCAACCTAATATATTTTTATTTTTTAGACTTAAATTATCAGATGATCATAGTATCTGAATTATTTTAACCAAAAGACCCTTTATTATTATAGGCTTTAACTTTGTAAAAATTACCAAAAAGATAATCCACTAAATATTATAAGTTCCTATACAGTGATAAATACATGTATTATATGTATAAAATTTAGTTAATAGTTAATATATTATCACAACTCAAAGCCTTAGCTAAACTTGGTTTGCTGTCATTTTATTTAATATCTTTTTACATGATAAATAACAAACCAATCTTAATACTTTTATTTCTCTATCTAATTAAATAAACCAAACCATATAAATCATTATTGAAATTAATTAATAACAAGTCACAATTATTTTATGATAGTATAGGATATTTTAGTTTTAGTCACAATTATATTATAACTTTCAATATATTGTATTATGGTCATTGATAATCAACTTATTTCAATATATTTTAACATATTTTAACCATAATAAAATATATTAAAATATTAATCATAATTTTCAACATATTTTATTATGGTCATTGATAATCAACTTTCAATATATTTTATTTTGGTCATTGATAATCAACATTCAAATTTAATTTACTGACTTAAAAAACGAGTTAGATCTTACAAGCAAAGACATCAATTCTTCACAATTAAACTTGTATATTAAATAATGTATCACTTGTTATTGTTACAATCAACATATAATGTAGTTTTTAAACACATATGTAATCTAGGTTACAAACTAAGCATCACAATGATGACAGTATTAGTTTCTAAGCATCATTGTGCAGTACAATAAAGAAGTTTCCTTAAGTAAATATATGTGTCACTTAATACTCTTTATCACTACTAATCCTTCAATCTAAATGCGATGTGAATGCTACTTTCTTATTTGATTTAACTAAGTGTGCGCTTTGGTTTTATTACCACTAATCATTCTACCCAAATGCACCATAAATACAACTTTGTTATTTGACTTTAAGTAATTATGATGGTTTATAATTTATAGATTTATTCAAAAAAGTGTAACTTCAATCTTGTGAGGAGAATTAACTGGTTTGAGATCTTATTCCTTGAAGAATATCGTAACACACAAAGTACAATATTTAAAAAAATAAACCGAATTTAACTGTAAATAAAATTTCAAACAACTAACTTATCCCTGGCACTTAAAAAATTACAATTCATTGTTTACAATATGATGATGATGATAATAATAATAATTATTATTATTTCTATTTCAAATTAATGTGTATTGATGAAACAGCCATGTGTAGCATTCTTTACATGTTCTGAAACTTTATATTGTGATTTTTTCTATAATTAAATAAAAAAATCTATTGAGTAGCAACCATGTGTGCATGGACAAATTATAAGATATTTTTATTTTAAATCTTGGTGTATATATATATATATATATATACACACACACACACACACACACATATATATATATATATATATATATATATGTGTGTGTGTGTGTGTGTGTGTGTGTATATATAAATACATAACAAAGAGCCAGATAATTAAATAGCTAATTTTGACTTGCAGGCATTGAATCATACAATTTGAATGTAGTGCAATAAATTGTTAATAACTAATAGTATGATAAAATATTAAAATGTTATTGAATAATTTTCATATTGAAGAATTAATCTTTGTTCAAAGTTTAATTTCATTTGTACTCAAATAGAACAAGCTGACTTTTTGTGTACTTGAAAAAGAATCACGGCCTCATATTCACTCTCCATTTCTTTCCCAACCCTGAAGAATAACAATCCAGCTTAAAGAAGAAATATATATATATATATATATATATGCAACTTACCTCGTCAGAACTTAGAGTATCTTTCAACAATTAAACTTCTAACCTTTTGTCATCAAATCACCAAAAGTTAATAGAAATCTTGCATGCGAAACTTCCAAATAGTGGATTGTTTTCTTCCTCACTGTCTCATTATTTGATTTGTTTATTTTCCTCTTTTCTCAACTTCATAATCCAAGGTGTTCAAACACTATATCTTCCATAATCTAGCCTTCACCTTCTTTTTACAATGAAACACTCATCAACCACTCCAAACTTCTACAAACAGAGAGGAAGCAAAACAAAAAAACAAAACGAGGAAAAATCCAAACCCACTAAAAGAAAATCTAGTGTTGGTTGGATTCAAGCTTGGTTCATAAACTTCGAAACCCTAAAAATACACACTCACTGTGTTTAATCCTCCGCCACGCAAAGCCGTCAATTCCAGTGTGGGTTATGAAGCATGTCAAGTCAGCTGTTGGGTGGGTTCTTAACTTTTAAAGCAAGATTGCCCTCAGCATTTAATTAATTAACATTGAGAAATCATAAAAGGGAAAAATACAGAATCAGAAGAATTTTTTTTGTGGTGTGGTTTTTAATAAGAAACTTGGAGTGGGTTGAAAGTGGGCGCCATTGCTACCAAACCATAGCCCTAACCCTAAATTACAACCAAACTCTTACTCTAAATTTGGTCTTGAATTATAACCCACATTCCAACCTTGTATCACAATTGAACTCTAATCCTAAATTAAATCCTAGGTTGTAACTACATCCTAATTCTATATCATAACAAACGACTTTGCTAAATCTAATTCTAAATTATAATTAGATCTACATCATAAAAGATCTAATGCTAATCTTCATCTTTAATCATGTCCAAATTCTAAGTCTAACATAAATCCTAAATTTTGCACATGTTATCGGGAGAAATGAAGAAAGAAGCAAAACAAATCCAGTAGAAATGTTGAGATGACTCAAGCTTTCGCTTGTGTGAAGCCTTATTATGAATGAGCAATTTATTTTTTATTTTTATTTTTATTTTTTTCCTTATTCTTTAGCAATGATCATTCCTCAATTCAGGTGTGAAACATTTGGAATATATGTTTTCAATTGAAGTTAGATAATAAGGGCAAGATGGTTCGTTAGTTAGTGTAGTTTATGTCATATTATTCGATTTTTGTACATTTATTATGGCTCTTTCCAATGTAGTATTAATTATTCTAAAAAGTAAATAAATTGAAATAATTACCTGTATGAATTTTAAAAGCAATTTTTTAAAATTTATAAAATTTACTTCAATCAACTCTAGAGGTAACTTTTTGTTATAAATGTGTACAAGTAGTTTGTGTAGTTAATCATTGGAACTTTGGACAATCAGCTTCTATCAATATATATATATATATATATATATATAATATGTATATTTATTGCTACACATGGTAAATAAATACAAAAATAGAAACATCTTTGTATTTCTTACCACTTCGTCTTTAGTCTTGTTTGTGGTAGTAAATCTTCTCATGATAGATATTCTCATAACCATTTAGTTGATTCATAATATGTCTGAACAAACAAAACTGAAAACTTGTTTGTAACATGCCACTTTTATTTATTTATTTATTTATTTATTTTATTTATCAGGGCAAGTTTTTACACCATCGTAACCATAAAATTACAATAAAAAATAAACTCGAATAATCAAAATTCCGACACTTTTAAAGGGAAACACATGCACATTGTGATTGTAATAAAAACCATCCAAATAAACGAATGTAAAATGGATGCACACTCATCCAATCAAAGATTATAACTTCTGTCACACAGGATTTAAAAGCTTTGTCTTCCAGCATAAATATAAAAAACATAAAAATGAAGATATACGACAATCACCCATTTCGACACATTAACAAAGAAAAATACTGTCGTTTGGGATACCTTTTTCCAACCGTGACATTTATTATGCACCTGGAATCCGTTCTCGTCATTCTTCACACACTGACAAAATAAAGTTAAGAATATGGAATATGGTAACGAGCATCCACTTTTGCTTTAAAAGAAACTTTTTATACAAATATTTCTACTCCAATTGCAAGGATCCCAATGGAGCACACACCCCCAGGCATCCACGTGGAACCAGATCATTGGACGGACTCCTGTAGCCTCCACGGCAGCTAAAATGCGGATGAAAACAACAGGATGAAAATCACTTCCCTTACTGTATTGCAGGGAGACACTCCCCCGTCCAAAATTCGTACATCCAGTCATGGGTTCATTTTTCATCCTCTCGTGGCCCCTTTTCACACCGCGACTCGTATCAAGCGAGACGATCCAGAGAGCTGCGTGGTAGAGGCCTTCTGGTGTATTCATACGGGGATTTATTTTTGGATATGCTCTATTTAGTACACGTTCTACATTATCTTAGATTACAAACTGATTTGAGCGTTAATAAGGCGAAAAAACAGTAGCAGCAATAATGAACGCTCAATGCTGAGTTGGTGCTTTTTAGGGCTAATGCAAGAGGATTATTAGGGTTTCGAGGCATCTCCCAAAGTCCTTCACTGATTGCTTTCTAAAGGTCAACTGCTGGGGAGCGAAGTGGGGAACGGGTGAGTGAGAGGGAGAGGCAGAGGGCAATCACAATCTGGGTTCACAGACTTGGCTCCAAAGGACCTTTTTCTTAATTAATTAATTAAAAATTTGTTTTTCTGGTGCGTGCAGGGGTTCGATGGAGGCTCTCACACAGTGTTCATGTGATTGACAGGCAGCTGCTGCACACACTCTGCGAGACTTCTAGGAAGATAAGAGAGAGAAAGAGACACCTTAGAGAGAGGAGACATAAATAAATAAATAAACAAATAAGTTAATTAGTGTAGCCTCTCCGCCTGGTTGTAACAACCAGAGGGGCCCTGTGACGTGGAGTCCACCTGAGCAGTTGCGTCAGCCGTAGACCTCCTTGGGTGGAGTCGGCTGACGTCAGACCATTTTGTCCTATTCCTTGACTGGATGGATGAATGGATGCATTTATGTGGGTGTTAGTGAGCACAACGGATGGATGATATAATGGAACGACGAACGGAGTCTTTTATCAGGGGGTTTGTTGGTCAGTTCGCTAACCAGTAGGTTCAGATCAAAAGAACACACCCACTCTCATATCTGATCTTTTGTTTAAATTTGGCTTGGTATCATAATTACTAAGCCAAATTGTGTGTGTATCATAGTATTAAATTTACTACTACGCATGATTTTGCCAATCTTCAGTTTGTTAACTTTTTCAGCATGATCTGGTTGTTAAAATGGAACTTTCATGCAGAATCTATGGATATTTGAATACATTTGTGACTAAATTTCTTTACTCCCTGAGAATAATATTGTAAAGTATATTGTAGTTGTATTTTCCTTTTTTCTTAAAGTAAAATCTAAATATTGAATTTTTCTTTGGGTAAAATTTAAAAAATAAGCATGATTGATATATTTTTTTGAATTATGACTTCTTGGATGAAATCAAATAAAAACTGAATAGTTCAAATTGATATTTTATTTTGCATGTTTATTGTGGTTTTAATATTGTCCTACTAACCATTTGAAATTGTATATATATATATAGTATGGTTTGTTTTATCACCCACATTAAATATCTAATGGTTACCAAAGAAAATAAATAACTTTTTATTAAACAGAAAAAAGTAAAAAAGAATAATAAGAACAACAACTTTAACTTTTATTACTTTGATAAAAGTGAATTTGTATTTCTCAAGGAAACTTCACTACATAGTTGAAGTTTGTTTTATTGCATATTTACTTCCAAATGTATCTTAATATTGCCTTAGATTTTGAAAACATTACTAGAATATTTATTAGACTGTAGATTTTAGTAATTTTGATATTTTTCATACCTTGTAATAATTATTTCGAAAAATTATATGTGACATATATTTTATATCAAATGTTTTAGAAGGTTAACTATCCTTAATTTTAAAAATAATGATGTATTTCTAAAACAAACTGAACATTAGTTTTGTTTAAGAGATACAACTACAAATATTTGTAGAATGTTACAAGTATACAAATGTAGATAAAATAACGTTGATTGTACATATAATGTAAGTATTATATATATACACATATACATATACACACACACATAAACATACATATTCTTTTTGTATGAAAATTTTCAAGGGAATGAATTATAAACTTTATCAAACACTCACACTCTTATGATTTGGGACACACACACACACGCACATAAATAAAAGTATACATTCACTTTTACGTTATTGCATTGTTGTTAACAAATCATGACAGAATCAAACAATGTCAGAAGCACAAGATAGAAACCCGGAGCCTCACAAGATTTTGCGTTGGGTGTGGAGGCATCGTCGTGCTGGAACTGACTGACTGACGGTCACCGAGGTCGCCGTCGATGAACCGCGTGTTTCGGTGCGTCAGGGGTTGACTAGCGGTGACCTCATCTCTGTAACGCGACGCCCTGCGACAAATTATTCACCGGTACTGGTCCTACACACACACTCACACTCCCCCTCTCACCACCCTCCTCCATTACTAGTACACATGCGCTGTCCTGAATCTTCACTAGCCAAGACACGCACACTCCTGCAACTCTCAAGCCTCGGGTGAGTAAGTGAGTGAGGGAGTGAGTGAGGGAGTGAGTGAGCGAGTCAATGAGTACGTGAGTGCGTGCGTGCTTGAGCGAGCGAGCGATCGATCGAGCCAGCTAATGAGGGTGTTCCTCATTGCAGCACAAATCACCACCTTATACTAGCTCTCTGCATGCTGCTGCAGTCTGTGCTTTTGTCGGTCTACTTGTTGCCACCAGGTGCTGCTGCATTTTTGCGCTTTTAGTGCAGACAAAAAAGAAAGAACGTATTCGCAGCAGCAGCATTCATGATATACACATTTTTAGAATGGTTTGAGCTTCGAAGCGTTTCCACTACGACAGAATTTTAGACCAGGGTTCCAGGTAGTATGCATTGTTGTCGTCGGTGGTTGTTTGTTCTCAAATTTGCGGCATCGCACGACCGTAATGGAATGAAGGAGGTAGTGATGTTGGTTTCGATCAGCTTGCGCGTACGTGCCGTTGTGTTCGCGTGATTGGAATTTGCTGAGAGGTGAAGCTCGGAATTGGTCGAGTTGGGGTTTTGGGTGGTTGGGTTGATCATCATGGGTCGGGCGCCGTGCTGCGATGAGAGGATGTCAGTGAAGAAGGGGCCGTGGACGCCAGAGGAGGATCAGAAGCTGGTGGCATACATTCAGGAACATGGTCATGGAAGCTGGCGGGAGCTCCCTGAGAAAGCCGGTAAGCTGCGTCCTGCTTCGAAAAGTGACGAATTTTTTCTTGCATGAGACCATTACATTGCGTTCTTCGACCCCAGGTTTTGGATGGATTTGCAGTTAGAATGCTCAGATTCACAGAGAAGGTGTCTCATGTGACCTGTCCGTAGTGAACTTTATGGATTGTGGGAGGAATTTATGGTTTCAGTTTGTGCTAATATTCACGAGAGGTCGCATTTTCTTTTAGGGCTTGCGAGATGCGGCAAAAGCTGTAGATTACGGTGGACAAACTATCTTAGGCCTGACATCAAGCGAGGACGATTTTCGCACGAGGAGGACCAGAAGATAATACAGCTTCACGCCATTTTAGGCAACAGGTACTGAATTTTCTTCCCGTCGCGTTGGGATGTCTCATTTCTGCAGACGTCGCGCGTTGGTTACACTCCACAAAATTGTCAGTTCCTAACAGCATTTCTCGTTTCTTGATTGCATTAGATGGTCAGCCATCGCGGGCCATCTCCCCCAGCGTACAGACAACGAGATAAAGAACTACTGGAACACGCATTTGAAGAAACGTTTGGCACAGATGGGAATCGACCCCATCACTCACAAAACCAGCAGCTCAGGGCTGGCGCTCACTTCCTCCTGGAGACCCATCGTATCTACACAACTTACTCACATGACTCAGTGGGACTGCGCCCTCGCGGAGGCCGAAGCACGGCTCTCCAAGAAGTCTTCGATGAAACCCTTTATTAGGTTTCCCGAGGCAGCGCAATCCTCGGCACATCCCTCAACCTACTTCATGCGGTCCTGGAAGACTGGAATAGAAGACAAGCATCGCCCCAAGTTCGGAATAGTAAAACGGGAATCCTCGCCGGTGAGGATCGATTGTCCATCCCTAGTTCCCAATCCTGCTAGAAGACCTTCGAATTTACTCCAAAACTGGGACACCATCTTGGGCCTGCGCACCGATCAGCCTGGTTCACTCTGGCAACAACCTGGAGCATGGAGTATGTCCCACACATTAAAGCAAATCGCCACTAGCGGGAGGAGCCATCATCTAGATGAGTCGGCCGCTTCGCAGGCTAGATCGAGTACAATCGATATGTCCGGCGAGGTCGCTTCCATGGCCGACGACATGATGTTTCCGCAAATCGATCGCACTGGTTCTAATTTACTCTTCGTGTTCGAATCGGCAGGAGCTACACGGTCCGACAGCGTTGACCGGTATGGCACGACGACGCCTGGAGACTATTTCTCCCCCACCAGCACCTTGCACGGCCCAGACCCAGATTTCACCCATTCCGAATCCGGCAGCCCTTGCGGTAGCAGCACTGATGGATCCACCCTTGATTGCTTCGACTTCACTGTGCAGCCCGAGGGCTCCTTCCACAGCTTCTCACTCCTCCCAAACGGCGACGGCGACGGCGACGACGGCGATGCCCGTCTCCAGGAGTCTTCCTTATATGACATCCCCGACACGTTCTGGCAAGCGGGTCAGGAAACCGAGGCTTTGCAACTCCAAACGGTGGAGATCTCGGATGATGGGGGCCCGGACTCCGGCGGGCTGGATCTAATCATCCCTTTGGATTTCAGCAATGCTGAGTTCTCGCAGCACTTGGAGTCCTTGTGTCAGGAGCCTTCGGAATACCAGACCGACATTGGGGAGGTCCTCTGAACGAGTTTTCAACCAAACCCCCCCCCCCCCCCCTAGTGTTGCAGAGTCACCAGGCATCCAAGCCTGAGCACGATGTCAGTAAAGCTCCTGACTTAGCACATGCAGGGAGAGGCACAGCCCGTTGATTTCGTAGAGCCAGGCTGATCGCTTTACCTTGTAGATCCACACGATACCCACATTCCCCTCCCTGCACGGAACCGCACGAAGATTGTAATTACACAGTTTCTGGATTTTAAATTCTCCTCATTCATTACTCCTTGCACACACTACGAGCCCGCATTATTGTGTCTACTCGGCGAGGGAGCCTGGTTGAAACTGAGGGACATGATCACAGTTTCATGATCAGATCCTCACTTCTGGTAACAATACAAACAAACACAAAACCAAAAGTAAAGATCAAAACTGAACTGGGACAGTTCTTTTCTGGATCCCATGCCCTTTCGCATGCGTTACAGCCCGGCTCATTTGTCAACTACTTCTCATTGTCCTCAGTATACCGTACACGACCTTGCACTTGAAGCCGATCATTCACAAAGACTGGAGTATATGACCAACAGCATATTGGGCAACAGTTTGTCCTGAAATCAGTGGAGGCTTTCTTTGCCCCTTGTTTCAGAGGCATGTGGGGTCTTGTGCAGAGTGGCTCCTCGCTTGAGTGCTCTGCTTCGGAGGCCATCCTGACACACACACACACACTCTGTTCTGCTCTGTATGACCTCTGTAGCTCCAGTTCAAGCTCTGCCCACACCCATGGCGCCGGTAACGCTTCGAATTCCACCTTTTTTTCACGTTCTGATGCTTCTTCCTGTGAGCCAGAATCTCTCTGGAGTACCGCAAGCTTTCCGGTGTAACTCCGATGCCGCTGTGTTTTTCTGGATGCACCAGCACCCCTCGTTCTTCATATCAGCAGCTTCATATTCCATAGCTTTTCAACACAGAGAGGAGTTAGTGGAGTAGCTGTTTTTTCTACCACAAAAAGCCTTGGATTGGATTAACTGATGTGGTGGTTGTGAAAATGATCGTCTTTTTGTGTGTGAAATATGAAACATTCAAGGACGGACTGATAATACCTTGTTGGATGGAGTATGTGAGATTTTTTGAGTATGCCATATATATTCCATAAGATTTTTTTACCAATGAGTGTGTAGGAATTACCAATTTTTTTCATATGCTTTATACTAAAATTTAGAATTGATAAATAATGACCAATTTTTTTATTTGTACACCTTGTAGTAAAATCAAAAGTTTAAAATAAGGCCAACTATTATTTTTCTATAACTTAATAAAAATATTCTTATGTAAAAAATATAAGTATAAATTGAATTATCAATAAGTTTATATTCTTAAGATCTATAATTTTTTTTATTTCTCTCTAAAATATCTATTTCATAAATAAATTAAGGTTTTCTTAATTTAAATATTTATTTTTAGCTCTAAACTTAAGCTTTTAATCTGTAATTAAAGACTATATAATAAATTTTAAATGGTAACTACAAATTATAAATTTTAGACAATTTTTATTGCTGATATTATTTTTAGCCAAAAAACCTGCTAATATAAGAAATCATACTGAATTAACTCGTATGAGTATATTTTTAAAAATAAATAAAATTATAATTTATCTTTTAAAACTTTAATAAATATGTATATCTAACTTTTTCTTGTTTCATTTTAACTTAGAGCCATTTCTAAAATAAATTATATTCCACCTTTTATTAAGACTTTACCAAACTTGTTTTTATTGTTATCATTTTACAAGCATTCTTAAAACTAAAACATGTTATATGGTGGTTTGATGAATCTATTATAATTTCTTATATATATTTTAGAGTTGATGAATCATCTTTTATTATATAATATTATATATAATTTTTTTAGAAAGTAAGTGATAGATTTTTAAAATGATTATTGAATTTTCTATTAAGTAGGTAAATTTTTTACTTTGTATATTTTTACATGTTGATTCTTTTGCATAATTATTGGCACTTTTAAACTTATTCAAACTTGATATTAGTAAGCTTAGATATTGTCTAATTTTTAATCTTCAAAGAGTGTCAACTTTATTCATTTTAGAAGTTTATAAAGAAAATATTCATTGAGTTGGTGCATATATTTATACATACATATTTGTATGATTCTAATTTTATCTGATTTTATTTATAATAAGCTTGTATCTTGTTAATAAGGCTTTATAGTCTTTTATACTATATGTAGGTTTTACAAAAATATTTATAACTTATGGATAAGAAATAATATCTTATAAAATTTTATTATTCTTCTCTTGCAATACAACTTGTTATTTTAAAAGTAGATAGTTAAATTCTTCTTACATGTTAGGTAGTACACATATTGAGTTACAATTATTTGAGTTTTTAAATCTTTTGCTAACTATACTTAAATACTTTTTTCCAATAGATTTATTTATAGCTTTTAATTTTTCATAATCTATATCAATATATTTTTTATGCTAACAACTAAACAATGATGAAGAAAACTAATGTCTAATATTCTTAAATAATAGAAGTGTTTGTTGATATTTTGTATAAATTTTGTATTTGTAATTTTTTGGTTATGTCAAAAATAATAGTTTTGATTTGAAAATATCTTCTTTTTAAGGATTGTTTTATTAGCAATGTTAATTGTATCTCTCTTTGTAACTATACAAACTATCATTTTAATACAAGACCATAATATTTACCTCAAAAAAATCTAATAATTACAAAAAAAGTTTTAAGACAAATCATATTTTAAATTTGAATAATTTTTTTATATCTATTAGTTGATTTATTTAAAATTTGAAGTAACTAACATTTGATGTTGCAACATACAACAACAAAAAAAAAAAAAAAAAAAAAAAAAAAAATCCAATATTTCTTTTAATAATTTGATGTCTTTAACTATACCTTGTTTTATTTTAAAATACATAGTCATTAATATAACTTCTTTGATACTAGACTTCTATACATTCTAATAGTGTATGATAGATACTTATATATTATACTTTTTAAGTGTTAGTTTTACATATATTACCATTAGAAATTCTAATATCTTTTGTTTAGATTGGTTGTTGCTTGGTAATGCTCAATTTTATTAAATTACTAATATAAAGTTAGAGTGGTGTTAAAATTCAAAACTTCTATACTAAATGACTTGCAACAAGGAGTCGTTGATCACAAAACCCTAAGTGAGAAGGAGCAGCTGCACCATTTTTTTATATTTTAAAGTCGCGACCTCCTTAATCGAAAAATCAAATCAATCCAAATCGTTAGCTTTTGAATCTGATGTTTGGTCCAAAACATTAAAAACAACGACATATCAAACAGGTAAAATTTATTTTACATGAAACAATGAAGAATCTCAGAAACTACCCAAGCTGTTCAGAATTAACTACTGTTCATTTCAAAATAATTTCAGGAATATCTTACCGATCCATCCACCAGTCACAGTACCGGCCAGTTCAACAATTTGATCATCTTTTTTGTCGTCTTTACTCATCAAATCAGTACACGAACGTATTTTCGGCAATGCCCACAAACTGAGTTCACATTACTGAAACGAGAGTATGGCTTCACAATCAGTCCCCATTTGTCGCAAATGCAGTTTTCCCGTAGTCCCTTCTTTGCAGATCCGTCGCAACCAATCTTCGTCGAAGCTCGTGAGCTCCAACGTCGTCGTATCGCCATCTTTTGTTTCCAGCAATTCCGAGGATGATACCGACCAGGCACCACCACACCAGATGCTCCAGATCGAAGTGGGGCCTTGTCGTCTCGATTGACTGATAAGTCTGTCTGTCTGTCTGTCTGCGTCGTGTCTGAATTCAGTGTTGGAGGCTCTACTTCTCTCACGCTCTCTCTCTCTCTCTCTCTCTCTCTCACTCTCTCTGCATCTGAGCCAACGACAACCACACAAATGCAACAACAGAAACACACACACACTCTGAAACATGATTAGGATCTTGTCCCTTTCGACAACGCTTTTTCTGTTGCAGAGCTCTCTCTCTTTCTAGATGATCGATTCGACATGTGTGAGAAAAATCTAGAACTAGTGATCATAATGTGCCCTGTTGTTGGCTTTGGTTGTTTTGTGCTCTTGTGATGCATCTTTCATGTCCTGTTATAGCAACCTGATTTCCACCTTTTCTAGTTTGAATGCCCAAGTATTTATTTATAGTTTGAGTTCCAGTACAGGGGAGTTGGGGTGGAGACATGATACCCAGCTTAGCTATTTGTGTGCAAACTGTGTGTTCATGTCTTAGCCCCTACCTCCCACAATGCAATGCAGTTGCTTTAAGCTTGTGAAGTTGATAGCAATGATAAAGTGGTTGGGGACAGCAAATAAAGAAGGGGATATCAAAGTACTCGACCAATGTTTGGATTTCAGAAAGGTGGTAAAACATTTAATGGTGCAAATGGGGAATTTCTATCTATCTATATATAATATACAATATAATAATATAATTAAAAAAACCTGCATGGTGAAAATGGATGTGTGTATATATATATATATATATATATATATTCAATCTTTTAGAAGTCATTCAGAATATATTGGGTATTGGATGTAGTGATTGATACTACTCCAAGAGCAAATATAACTAATGCTTTCATAGAAGATATTCTTATAAGTATATTATAAATAGTTGTGGTGGAACTACTAGTTGAACAATTATTAGTATAAAAATGCTTAATCATCATCCAGTGTTTTTTAAAAGGTTAAACATTATAAAATGCTAAAATTAATCCTTTTGAAATATATTAGAACCAAATAGAAGAACTTAAATTATAGTTCATTTTTCATAAAATCTTGCAATTATTCTTTATTTATTTATTTTTAAATAAAAATAATGTGAACGATTTGTGTTACTTATATAATGAAGTATTCTTTAAAATTTCTGAAATCTTTATGAATCTAGTATATATATATAGATAGATAGATAGATAGATAGATAGATAATTTTTTTAAAAAAATCTTGTACATTCCCCATTGTCTTCTACAAGTTTTTATAATCTTTTACAGCCATTGAACACAACCTTCCATCATTTAAAAGTATTTACAAAAGACTTTAAATTTTTAGAATATTCTACATATATTTGAAACTTATTGTAGAAGTTTTTATAAAACCTAGCTGTTATAGTGTAGGTAAAGAGACAAGACAGTGAACACATTAGTCTTATCAATACAAGTTTTGGAGCTATCTAAGTGTTGTTATGTTTTCAGTCTTTTATATGGTCGTACTTTTAATTCAGTGTCTTG